ACAGCCAAATTTTAAAGTAACATCAAACATACTAAGGTGGATTGTCTAACTTAAGTTCTTCTCTTCCTTTTTTTTCCCCCTCCAGTCATTCATGGATTTGCAGTTTCCAAATGGTCAGTTAACCTATGTGTCTGGTGAGGGCATATCCACTAGTACGTTCTTACCTTTTTGTGGTGGCCTGCTTCAAGCTCAAGGCCAATATCCAGGCGAGATGAAGTTCAGTTTCTCTTGCAAGGCAAGCCACCAAGACTGTAATATGCTATAACAGAATAGATCTAATTGGATTCTATTTTTACATGAAGATAACACTAATGGTTTACATTGGTTTGCAGAACAAATGGGGAACACGCATCACACCAACTGTACAGTGGCCTGACAAATCATTCACAATGGGTCTTGCTCAAGCTTTAGCTTGGAAGAGATCTGGTCTTATGGTGAGGCCAACCATACAATTCAGGTAAGAGTGCTTTCTTTGTTTATGTGAATTGTAACTTGATATAGTGATGATATTTAGTGGAAGTGGCCATTGGGTTTCTAGTATAGTTGTAAAAATTTTTGGTTATGAGCTTCCTGTAATTCTGGAAGTTACTAGTTATGATTTCAATCCTCTGCTACAATTTTAATTTTTGCTTTACTCTACTCCAAGCCAGTCCAGTTATATGGAAATAAGCCCCGCAAACACTTTGTCTTGCACATTCAAAACTTGAATGGCCTGTGGGTGCTATGTTCTTCTCCTTTGTTTGTGATTTTTTTTTTTTGTCTTTTTGTCTTTTTGGCATGGTCTACATTTTATGTGCTACATTATGTTCATAGTTCACTAATTTTTCTTTCATCTTTGTACCCTGCCAGTGTATGCCCAACATTTGGTGGAAGCAATCCTGGGTTACAGGCTGAACTAATTCATTCTGTGAACGAGGAGTTGAGTCTGATTTGTGGTTGTGCTTTCATGTCACATCCTTCTGCATTTGCATCACTATCTGTAAGTTATTTCTGTACCTCTAAACATCTTTGCCACTGTTGCATCCAAATTGATATAAATGCTGTAGAATGCTGATCATGTACTTCCCCTAGATGGTTGAGATGATCTCATAACTAGGGTCTTGTCTCAATGCCATTTTGGGTTTTAATACTTGCACCTGCTATTCATCAGTGGGCATGATCTAGTAAAAAATGCTCCAGCCGTGGTCTAATCTAGTGTTTTCTAAGGTGCTCTTGCACAGTAAGAAGAGAGATCATCCACTTGTTTTGGGCAAAGGCATAGTATGTAGACCCATGTGTTTGCTAAGTGGAGAAATATATGGAGGATTAATCACTTCAATGAGCCTGTGATACTATAGTTACATGCATTGCCTGGAATGATAGTTACCTGGCAGGTTGAAGTAGGTTTTGGTGATTACAAATCAATGGGTGCAGCGGGAGAGATTGATGCAGATGTGGCCCATAGGATTAAGGCGGGATGGTGTAAGTGGAGCAGTGCGTCTGGGGTATTGTGCGATAAACGAATACCCACTAGACTGAAAGGTAAGTTTTATAGAACGGCTATTAGACCAGCTATGTTGTATGGGACGGAGTGTTGGGCAACCAAGAAACAACATATAAATAAGTGTTACTGAGATGAGAATACTAAGATGGATGTGTAGCAAGACTAGAAAAGACAGAATTAGCAATGAGTTTATTCGGGAATGAGTAGCATCGATAAAAGATAAGTCGAGAGAGAATAGATTGAGATGGTTTGGTCATATTCAACGGAGACCAACAGAGGCAGTAATGAAGAGATGTGATGCTGTAACGGTAGATGGAAGTGTTAGGGGACGGGGTAGGCCTAGATTAACGTTGACTAGCGTTATAAATAGAGATATGAATCTACTTAATTTGACTAATGAAATGGCCTTTGATAGGGCCGCGTGGAGAAGAAGGATTCATGTAGCCGACCCCATTTGATGAGACTTAAGGCTTGGTTTGGTTTGGTTTGGTTATTTCGTGGTTCCAACTAAATTTTTCTAGAAAAACTATGTCATGTGTCACTGCTTTTATTTCAAGATTTGTGGTGATGTATAATTTGAAAAAGTGCATGAACATAAGATTATTTAAAAATGAAAATTAAAAATAGAAACATTTAGATCTTCTAAAAAGGGAAAGTGCTCTTGAACTACAAAAGCAAAACATGATATCATATTAGAGTAGTAGTGTAATTGTGGATATCGAAGTAGTGACAAAATTTGAAGTTTCACAACAAACTAACCTGTAGTATCTGTTTTCGGAAAAGCTTTTTTCTCAAACAACTTCCAGCTTTCTTGCTTGCTTAAACACTTATGTTCAAGGACGAAACCATTTGGATCCACAAATGTTATCACGTTTTTTTTACGACTAGTAAGGATTATTTTGCTGCCCGTATTTACTTTGGGAAATGCTGGTGATAAGCTGACCCAAGCATCTGATGACCAAATGTCATCAAGAACCAGTAAGCATTTTCTCTGTTGTTGAAATTCATAGAGTAACTTCACTAATTGATCATCTATCATATTCACAATCTGCCCACTTTTCTCTGGAATGAGTTTAGTTAGGATCCTTTGCAAAACATCTTTTAGTTGCCATTGTTGAGATATTGAAACCCAAGTGAAGGCATCAAAATGGCACCGAACGTCTTGGTGACGGTACACTTTCCTAGCAAGGGTAGTCTTTCCCAAACCACCCATGTCGCAAATGGAAACAACTCTACAGTGTTTGGCTTCTTCACTCACCAATTGTGCAACTAATATCTTGATATCTTGCTCAAAACCAATGAAATCCTCTTCATGAACGTGGGAATAAGTTTGTCGTAACTGAGATGACCTTTGGAGCGTAGAACTTGAACATTCTCTTTCATGTGCCATAGCAATTAGGCCGTAACTTGATAATCCTGCAGTAAACCTAATGATCTTACTTTTGATTGTATTAATTTCCGACCCAATCTTGTGTCGAGCTATGAATTCATTGGATATGCAGATAGATCTCACGAGGATGTTTTGGATGCCTCTTCTTCTCCTTGGCCCAGCCTTAAGGAAAAAGGTTGCGATCACATTCTCTGCATCATAACCAACTTCTCTGATTTCCCCAACCAAATGACGGATGATCTCATGTTCAATTTGTTTTGCGTCTGCGTCTTTTAAAAAACACTGCATCTGTCTTAACTCAACCAACAAATCGTCAACTTGGTCGCGCACTCCGTATAAGAGTTTTGCTTCTTGAATCATCAATTCACCAATCCACTTGGCTGCAAAAGAGACAACAGCCTGAGCCATATTTCTTTAGCCTCCGATGCGTCTGAGAGTTTTCTAACTTTGGTTGATAGAAGCACGAACTTGTACAACTTTTAGTACCGATCAGAATCAAATTCTTCGTGGTTGAACTTTTTCTTTGGGTCCACACGGTAGAATGTTTAATGAACACTTATTAGTCTCAATTAATTGTGTTAAAAATTGATTATGAGAATTTTATATTGACCATGTGTTGAAACAATAACATGAGAATAAATAAATCAAAAATGCTAGAGGCCCCAAAAATTCTACCAAAAGTTTTATCAAATGTCTCACATGGGTGTGGGACCCACATGGGACCCACATTGTGTGGGTCCCACACCCATGTGAGACATTTGATAAAACTTTTGGTAGAATTTTTGGGGCCTCTAGCATTTTTGATTTATTTATTCTCATGTTATTGTTTCAACACATGGTCAATATAAAATTCTCATAATCAATTTTTAACACAATTAATTGAGACTAATAAGTGTTCATTAAACATTCTACCGTGTGGACCCAAAGAAAAAGTTCAACCACGAAGAATTTGATTCTGATCGGTACTAAAAGTTGTACAAGTTCGTGCTTCTATCAACCAAAGTTAGAAAACTCTCAGACGCATCGGAGGCTAAAGAAATATGGCTCAGGCTATTGTCTCTTTTGCAGCCAAGTGGATTGGTGAATTGATGATTCAAGAAGCAAAACTCTTATACGGAGTGCGCGACCAAGTTGACGATTTGTTGGTTGAGTTAAGACAGATGCAGTGTTTTTTAAAAGACGCAGACGCAAAACAAATTGAACATGAGATCATCCGTCATTTGGTTGGGGAAATCAGAGAAGTTGGTTATGATGCAGAGAATGTGATCGCAACCTTTTTCCTTAAGGCTGGGCCAAGGAGAAGAAGAGGCATCCAAAACATCCTCGTGAGATCTATCTGCATGTCCAATGAATTCATAGCTCGACACAAGATTGGGTCGGAAATTAATACAATCAAAAGTAAGATCATTAGGTTTACTGCAGGATTATCAAGTTACGGCCTAATTGCTATGGCACATGAAAGAGAATGTTCAAGTTCTACGCTCCAAAGGTCATCTCAGTTACGACAAACTTATTCCCACGTTCATGAAGAGGATTTCATTGGTTTTGAGCAAGATATCAAGATATTAGTTGCACAATTGGTGAGTGAAGAAGCCAAACACTGTAGAGTTGTTTCCATTTGCGACATGGGTGGTTTGGGAAAGACTACCCTTGCTAGGAAAGTGTACCGTCACCAAGACGTTCGGTGCCATTTTGATGCCTTCACTTGGGTTTCAATATCTCAACAATGGCAACTAAAAGATGTTTTGCAAAGGATCCTAACTAAACTCATTCCAGAGAAAAGTGGGCAGATTGTGAATATGATAGATGATCAATTAGTGAAGTTACTCTATGAATTTCAACAACAGAGAAAATGCTTACTGGTTCTTGATGACATTTGGTCATCAGATGCTTGGGTCAGCTTATCACCAGCATTTCCCAAAGTAAATACGGGCAGCAAAATAATCCTTACTAGTCGTAAAAAAAACGTGATAACATTTGTGGATCCAAATGGTTTCGTCCTTGAACATAAGTGTTTAAGCAAGCAAGAAAGCTGGAAGTTGTTTGAGAAAAAAGCTTTTCCGAAAACAGATACTACAGGTTAGTTTGTTGTGAAACTTCAAATTTTGTCACTACTTCGATATCCACAATTACACTACTACTCTAATATGATATCATGTTTTGCTTTTGTAGTTCAAGAGCACTTTCCCTTTTTAGAAGATCTAAATGTTTCTATTTTTAATTTTCATTTTTAAATAATCTTATGTTCATGCACTTTTTCAAATTATACATCACCACAAATCTTGAAATAAAAGCAGTGACACATGACATAGTTTTTCTAGAAAAATTTAGTTGGAACCACGAAATAAAAAGGAAAAAAAAATGTGAGGAAAATTATCTAAAGGTGATTCCTCTAGTTTTACATATTTCTTTAAGTTTTTTGAGCTTATAATTTCCACTGTTTTCCTCTTAAATAAGTTTTTTCTTTGTCTGTACAGTTTAATTTGTTAAAAAGAGGTGTAATTACTCTCAAGATTTCTATAATCAAGACTTCTTCGAAAAACGGATCAAACACATGGAAGTATAACCATTATCTTAGAGAAAATATATGATTTCTCACAAGTAAATTGTTAGTAATGGGCGCCCATGTGGCATGACCATTAAATTTGAATTTGAATCCTTATCCAAATAGGTTTTGAATTTGAAATCAAACCTATTTAGGATAACCACTCAAGATACAGATATTATCAGTTTTAACTGATATGGATAAATAATAATAATGTATTATATATCTGATATATGGTTATGTGTAACTAAGAGAGAAAAGACGTATGATCTGTTTCTACCCATATACTGACTCTCTCCCAAAAACACAACGATCAAACCATTTTGCACTGTGGTTTGTGTGGGTGATATTCAATATTGTAATATCACTTCACTGCTGGGTTGATTGACTAGATTCAGGAAGCACGTGATTTATCTACGAGGTTCTATCATCAAAAAGGTATGATCTAAACATTTTATTCCGCTGCATGTTTTTGTGTTTTTTATTTACAGTATATACACCACATTTAATGTTACTATTTTTCTTCTTCTTTCATTGCCTTCTGGTCGGTTTTCTTCTTGGGTTGGCAAAGATTGCTATCGATGGAAGGTTGTGAGTCGCAAAAAACACACTGGCAACATTTTCAAGATTGACCTGAGAAACCAAGGACGAGATTATTGCAGTTTGTTTGAAGGACTCGTAGACAATTATAACTCATCATCATATTTGGAAGGTGAGATAAGTCCTTCTTTGCTTGACTAAAAATATTTAAGTTACTTAGATCTAAGCATGAATGTTTTCCATGGAATCACAATCCCAAATTTCATCGGTTCACATGAGAAATTGAGTTATCTCAAACTTTCTCAATCAAATATATACCTCATCTTGGAAATGTATCAAACTTGCAATATCTTGACCTCTCTACGTTTCTTTTTTACTACAATATTTGGGCATCGGATTTAAACTGGCCTGTCTGCCTATCTTCTTTGAAGTATCTTAATCTTGGTGGTGTGAACCTGAGTGAAGCACCAAATTGGTTGCATTCAGTTAATAGCATGCCCTCTTTGTCTGAGTTACGCTCGTTTAATTGTCAATTGCCCAACTTTCCAAAATCTATACAGAATATAAATTTTACTTTCCTCTTGGTCCTCGATCTCTCTTCTAACGAGTCTAACTCTTCATTACCAAGGCCGTCGCAAAAAAGTCAAGAAATTTCAAACGTTATTAGCGACTGCACGGTGCCGTCGCAAAAGGTAAAATGCCGTCGCAAAACATTAGCGACGGCACTTACCGTCGCAAAAACTCTTTTGCAACCCCTGCAGTTGCGACCCCTCTCTTGCCGTCGTACTACAATATTTGGGCATCGGATTTAAACTGGCCTGTCTGCCTATCTTCTTTGAAGTATCTTAATCTTGGTGGTGTGAACCTGAGTGAAGCACCAAATTGGTTGCATTCAGTTAATAGCATGCCCTCTTTGTCTGAGTTACGCTCGTTTAATTGTCAATTGCCCAACTTTCCAAAATCTATACAGAATATAAATTTTACTTTCCTCTTGGTCCTCGATCTCTCTTCTAACGAGTCTAACTCTTCATTACCTCTATGGTCTTTCAATATTAATACTCTATTCAATGTCAATTTAAAAAATTTTACAAGTTCCATTTATCTTCTAACTCTATTAGTACTGACATAAGTAGACTTTTAGAGGGATTGTCTAGGTGTTGTAACAGTAGCTTGTCTAGGTGTTAGGCAACCAAATGTTAGTAGCCAAAACACAAAATGTATGCCGACTAAAATCTTAGTAGCTAACAACATAAGACTTTAGGTGACTAAACCTTTAGTAGGTAAAAAAAAAAAAGAATTGACTTTAAGTGACCAAAATCTTAGTAGCCAAAACATTGTTATTTACTTTAGGCCACTAATATATTTAATAGCTAAAACTCTTTTCTGTGACTAAATGATTAGTTGTTAAAAATAATTGAACTTTTAGCGGCAAAAAAATTAGTCGCCAAAAATATGATATTTAATTTTATTTCAAACATTTTGGCGACTAAAAACTTAGTCGGCAATGTAGTACATTTGGAGACTAAAATAATTTTAGTCGCCAATGATCTTTCCCGACAAATTCTTCCCCGACTAATTCTGTGACCAAATATTTTTGTCGCTAAAAGCCTTCGGCGACTATATAGTGACTTTTGGCGACTAAAAATTTAGTCGCCAAAAGTGAAAATTCTTGTAATGAATATCAAATTTAAAAAAAAAAGTGAAAAGTATATTAATTCATTTCAAAATTCAAATTTAAGAGTCACTAAATATGAAAAATAATCTATTAATTTAAATTTAAAATTGGCACAATATAAATTTTAATTATAATGATCTATCCCATGATTTATAAGTTTTAAATACAAATTTAAAATTATCGTAATTAGCTCATAATTTTTGTATCGTGAACTAGCTCATAATTTTTGGATCGTGAGCTAATTACGAGCAGCAGTTCACAATAAAAAGTGCAGCAGTTCTGTAAATTTTAAGTTTTAACTTTGTTTCTTGACTGAACTGCTCAAGAGACAAAGTTGAAGAGACTTATGTGCCTTTATTGGCTTTTTTCCTCATAGCCATTGTGGAGCAGTTCAGTCAAGAAACAAAGTTAAAAGACCTAAAATTTTTCTTCATAGCTAGACTGAAACAGTTCGGTCAAGAAACAAAGTTTACAGAAAGTTGAAGGGACTTGTGTGCTTTTCTTGACTTTGACGAAAGGGTCTTTTCTTTTATTTATTTATTTATTCGTTTATTTTGTTCAAAAACAAAAAGGCCTAGCCATTAAAATTCTAGTTAGGGTCACGTTATGTTCATATGTCTGTCCAATAGAAGAGTTATGTGACCATTT